TGGGCCTGAGCTCTGGGAGGGGGAATTGGGGGGACAAGGGGCTGGGGGGTCCATCTGCCACCCTGAAACACCAAGGAACCCTCTGCTCCCTCCCCAGCCCCTCCAGGGGATTCCAGGGGGTTCCAGTGGATTCCAGACTCCCTCCACAGCCCCTCCAGGGGATTCCAGGGGGTTCCAGTAGATTCCAGACTCCCACCACAGCCCCTCAAGTGGGTTCCAGACTCCTTCCACAGCCCCTCCAGGGGATTCCAGTGGATTCCAGGGGGTTCCAGTGGATTCCAGTAGATTCCAGACTCCCCCCACAACCCCTCCAGTGGATTCCAGGGGATTCCAGTGGATTCCAGACTCCCCCACAGCCCCTCCAGGAGATTCCAGGGGTTTCCAGACTCCCTCAACAGCCCCTCCTGGGGGTTCCAGGGGATTCCAGGGCATTCCAGGGGATTCCAGCAGATTCCAGACTCCCCCCACAGCCCCTCCAGCGCAGATATCCCCAATCCTGGGCACGGCAGCTGCTGGACAGACCCTCCCAGCAGCCAGGAAAGCGCAGGAAAAATCGGAAACTCCACGAGCTGTCCCTTCCCTGGGACCCCCGAGGGCAGGGGCACTCACTGAGCCTGGAACCAACCAAACCCCTGTGTCYTTGCCCAAATCCATGGATTCCCAAGCTCCCTGAACCCTTTCAGCTCCTCTCGTGTCCCTCAGAGCCTCCCAGCTCGGTGAGTCTGGCAGGATTTATCACCAACCCCAAACCAAAGCAATTCTCCATCCCAATCTGGCTGTTGTGACGTTCCCAGGGCCATATCTGCTGTTTTTTTGCAGCTCCTGGCCCTGCCAGCCCGTCCCCAAGGCCGTGGCTCAGAGCCAGGAGCCGGGGAAGGAGCCTCACCCCCACCAGGGAGCTCCTGGAAACGGGGACAAACCCCTGTTCTCACCCCACCCCCATCCAGAACCCAAAATCCCCCTCTCAGTGCCCATTACCGGTGTTTTTTTGTGTTTCCACCCCATTATCCGTGCCAGGGGCTGGCTTCTGTTTCCTYGGGGCCACCAGCCCGGCCAGCTGGGCCTTGGTGCTGAGCTTGCCCACGCTGCRCTCCCAAATCTCAGTCCTGGGCTTCTTGCTCGGGGGTTGGGGGTCCTGTGGGGCACAGGAGGGGTCAGGGGGCTCCTGGGGACAAGGAGGGGTTGGGGACAAAGGGGACAAAGGCAGCAGGGACATGAGGAGAGGGGTCTGAGGGGATAAAGGGGACAAGGGCAGGAGGGACAGGAGGAGAGAGGTCTGAGGGGGACAAAGGGGACAAAGGCAGGAAGGACACGAGGAGAGGGGTCTGAGGGGGACAAGGAGTTGGGGACAAAGGGGACAAAGGCAGGAGGGACACGAGGAGA